GAAAGAGTTCAAAGAAGGATTACTAGAATGATGACTGGGATGGAGGGGTTGTCATATGATGAGAGGTTGAAATATCTCAAATTGTTTTCTCTTGAAAAAAGAAGAGTTAGGGGGGGGATCTGATTGAGATGTTTAATATAGTAAAGGGAATTGATAGTGTTGATGCATCATATTTTTTCATACCTAACAGTGAGAATAGTAGAACTAGGGAACACAAATATAAATTTTGGCAGGGTAGGAATCATCTTCAGCTAAGACAGTTTTATTTTTCTAACAGGGTGGTTGGTCTTTGGAATAGGTTGCTTTCAGATGTGAAGGGAGTAAATTTAAGCGAGTTTATGAGAAAGCTTGATAAGTATATGAATGATAAGGACTGGCTTTAAGATTTTTCTATTTTCTTTATTTATTTTCTAATTAATTTATTAATAGTTTTAGTTTAGAGGATGGAACAGTCGAGATGGGCAAACAGGTCCCATGTTGTCCCAAAATGTTATTTTATGCTACATAATGACTCACCCTATGTTTAGTGTCCTGGTGTTGAATGTTTCTTTTGTGGTTGTATTTGTATTTATTAATTGTTTTATTTACTTATTTATTTTTTCCTTCTCAAAAAATAAAATCTAATCATATCATATATACATGCACATATACACACATACACATGAAAATTTTACAACTAGCAGACCCTGTAATTTATGAGAAAGTAAAAAACTGACCTTGAAGTCTGTATATATCTCCTGAAGCAGCACTAACAGTAAAAGCAAGGCTATCTTCAGCACTAGGAGAAATTTCAGCTCCCTTTAAGGAAAAGAAAAAACAATTATTCTACTGCATACAACCATAAATTCTATGCCACTTCAAAAAACCTTATCAAAATCTTCTCCGACAACATCTGTCATAATGATGGTTAAGAAGTATTCTGTGGTTCTTAGTTAAAACAGACTTATTTTCAATTATTTTCATGATCATCGAGTTCTTATACAATGATATGTGTTTTTCCTGAGTAAGAATAGGCTCAAGAATACATTGTTTAATTAAAAAAATAAATTTTTTCTTTAAATAATTATCTCATATTGAACATGAACAAATACCATCACTCATATTTTTAGCACAGTTAATCATCTATATTTAAGCTGGGCTGTATTACTGATTATCCTCCACCTCTTGATAAACAAATCAATAGGTATATTGCACGGTAACTTTATAATAATGTAAGCATTAGAGGAAGAACAAAACAAGTATGAACTTACAGCCAGAAACACACCTCCTCTTGGTCTTTTTTGTTTCAATTCACTAGGCTGGAAACAATTTAAAAATGATCACATAAGACTATGCACACTTTAGGCTGAAACTTAAACACTGCCTTACACAGCAAAGGTTATTAATAAAGTATCACATTTATATAAGCATACTACTACTGGTCAATTCATTTAATAATTACTTAAACATTAAAAAGCAAGATGACCTATATGGAATATCTGAACTTTTTTTTTAAATATTAAACTTTTATATAACTTAATTACAACCTTATTTTAATTATTTGAATATAATAATCCATGTGAGACTAAGAACTTCTGTATGATGAATACCTAACATCTTACTGAGAAAATACTGAAATTATTAAAACTTTCACTTGTGCAACATTCAAATAAACACTATGGTTAGTATTTACTTTTACTTGCTATTCAAAGCATTTAAAAAATACCTCTTATATCTTACATTCAGGTGTCACCATATTATCCTACTAATGTTTAATATAAGGTATTTGTCTTCTCTTGTTTTGTTTGTTCTTGTTGTTAAGCAAAAAAGTTACACAATGGGCCACCAGTGCTCTGCTTACTGCGAGTATTGGGACTTCATAATTTTCCTATACTAAAAATGTATTTCCAGTAGGTATTTACCTCCTCTCACAGATATAGCTATTTTCATTCAGTGGTGCCTTCTATATACAATTTTTTTTTTCATATACTACAAGCATTGAGCTCCCACGTACCCCGCAATCAAAGTGGTTCAACTGCATCTCGTATGTAAATCATCATGCAACAACCCTCCATCAATAGGAGAGAGAGAGACACACACTCTCCTGATGCATGTGACTCCCTCTATTCAATTCCATTGAATTAGCACTTCAAGTTTTGGCAAAAATTGGAATCACCAGTTTTCAGCGTGGAGGAATACTGGGAAGTGTGAGAGGAGATACGTACCTACTGGAAATACATTTTCAGGATAGAAAAATATAGCTTCCAAAAACGGTACATTACTTCCTCTCATATAAAACCCCACATTGAATAGGTGGATGGAACTGTGCGAAGGAAAGAAAGAAGCATCCTTTGAACATGGGGGTAGGAAAGAGGATTCTGCTGATGGCAAGTCAACTACAAACAAAAATCCAACCATCTGGTGGGGGTAGGAAAGATAATCATATCATTTTCACCTCAAGTTCAGCAAGCTGAAGGAAAATATATACACTGACCGATCCAGGAACCCAACATCTGGATGATTGGAATAATAAAGTTGTCTCTATATTGTGAAACATCCCACTCATAACTAATCAGACAGGAACCACCCCAGGACAGTATCATCATCAGTATATGGAAATCTTCGAGGGGTAGCACAAGAGAAGGAACCGTAGCAATCTGTATGTTCATCCACTTTGACCCACAACATCTTAGCAATGAGCATGAGGTAAATTGAGTGAGGGAACTGAGACGCAAGTAATACATGTGTGAGGATTTATTTTGATTGGTCCTATTCTGAATCCAAAGCCCAGCCACTGGGAACTGACATACATGTGGGGGTAAGATGAGGGATCTTAATCAAAGGGGTGAACTGCAATTTTGATGGCTCACTCCAAAGCAACATCTCCTCAGATAGATCTGTTCAGAGATAGAGCATCATATTGGAGGACATCTTGTCATCTACACCAGAAGAACACCACTGCCTTACTCTCAACTGAATGGATTCCTTTTTTGTATATCACTATCAATTTCAGGAGGATACCTTCATTGGTCCACCACTCCAGCAGCTTGGAACTGGAAAGCAGTAAGGACTCCCATACTCCACTGGAAGAAAAAGGGGGAGAAAATGCAATGGAGAGTCTGGAGGAACGTCGACACAGGAGACAGTGCAACAGGTGACCATGAAAACCCTATTTTGAAAAGGAGACTATCCCCTTCTGCTTTACCCATGAAGTCCATGGGTGAGTACAGTCCGCAACAGGCATATTAATGAAGCAGATACATTGCAAGGAAAACCTACAATACCATATCAAAAGTGTTCATTTATTGGCAATGGAAATTATAGCTGTTAAGTCATCAAGGCCTTACAGTGTGGATTTGACTAATTTAAGTATACCTGGACAGAACTGAACTCTGGCCAACAGTTTCACTTGTTATTATCAATGGGATCCTGAAAGATTTCTCCAAGACAAGACTGTTATGAAGGAGAGGAATTTTCATTCAACCCTTTAACTCCTGAAGATGCAGCATATCTCTGTTCCCCATGGAAATCTAACCCTCCTGTAACATGAAAACCATCTAAAAATAACTAACAACTCTTTTCTGTTTTTCTCAGGAACTTCAAACTATCCATCTCACCAGAAGAAATCCAGACAAGCCTACTGACTATACCAGACTACTTGATCCATGTCATGCACTGAATCAATTCAAGAACTACAGACTTACCAACTCAATACATCAAGATAGTCACTGCTTCCAAAACCACTGCACAACACTTTCTAAGTAATGGTTTCTCCTATTCTAATTTCCCTCTACAGCTGAAAGACCAAGAAAATGCCACACCACAACTGGCAGCACCCCTTCAGCAATCTCTTCTAAGTTTGCTACATCTCACAATTAACTGTATCCTGTTCCTGCCACTACATTTGTTCCTGATACAGAACTACCAACCACTAGAAAAGTCAGTCACTTCGGAAAACAACAAGAGCACACAAACAACCAGTTTCAAAAAAACATCACAACAAACACAAACCACATCACCTCAAACCACTAAGTGTGACACCTTGACTTCCACCAACAGTCTTCACATAACCAATCAAGAAACGCAGACTAGATTTGCCAAAAAAAACAGAAGAATTCAGACTGAGGACCATCATGTCACAGACACTAAAAGATGGACAAGATCCACCACAAGACACAAACCTTCAGATGCTCAACAAACCAAAGCCTCTACCGAGCCTTGCAACATTTCCCTATGAAAGATGCAGTTCCTATGCCTGATCACTTCCAGTCCAAAAAAGCCAGACAACAACCAGGAACTACATAGCTTCACGTTGACTCTTCATCCATCCAGCCTTTTCTAGCCTACAATCTTCATGTGCAGCCATACACAATTGTTAAATTTAATCAAATTTATTTTCCACAACTTCTTTTGGGCATGGTCAGGGCATTTTATTTGGCACCCTGACTGTGAAAGTGGATTTTCTCCAATTTCTCCCCACAGCAAAATTTCTTACAATCTTTGGATCCTTTGATGCCAGCCCTGAAAAGGACCTTCTCATTTAATGTCACATTCTAATGTTTAAATTTAACCAGTTAAGAATATAATTTTAAAACAATTTATATTCAGTATTTTAAAGAGGAACGGAGATACTCAATCTGCATCTCCCTGCTCTGCTCTACACCGCCTAGCTCACTGATGGCCTGACATCATGCTTCATGCATTCTTAAGCCACTTGGATCAGCAGAAGCACATGTTTCACCTGTAGAAAACTCCTGAATTCAAAAAACAATTCAACAAAGTTCTCCTTCTTACTCTTCTTTTCCATGTCTTTTCACAGCTCTCCTCATTTCTTGTGGCATTGTCACTAGCAATATGAATATCACTTTTCATTCACATAAGACTTATAACCCTTAAAGTCAAATGCTACTTAAAGCTATTTCATACAGTAGGGTGAAGAGAAACAGAAGTTTCTGACTGCCCCTGGTTATATTTCATTCACACCAAAGGGAAATGAAATATATTTTCATCTAAATTACCACCACAATTGGACTGGATTGCAATGGATCAACTCCATGTAGTATGGAATGTGTCAACTATTAAGGTGATGGATCAACTCCACAGTAGTGTAAATAGTATAAGGCGACCACATAAGCTGGTAAAGTGATGGATCAACTCCAGTGTTTGTAGATATTATTGAATATGTAAAGAGTATAAGGAAGCCACATCATCCAAGAAGGTGACGGATCCTCCTGTGATAGTGTAAATAGTATCAGGAGGCCACGTCCACAAGCAAGGGGATGGATCAACTCCTGTGGAGGCCAAGTCGCATCTACACCGCAAGAACACCACTACCCTACTCTTGACTGAATGGTTATATCCAATTTGTAAGTGGAACCCATTCAGGAGGGTGCCTCCATGGTCAACCACCCCAGCAGCTTGGAACTGTAAAATGGCAAAGACTCCCATACTCCACTCGAAGAAGGAGAGTGAGAATGAGTTGGAGAGTCTGGAAGGAACACCATTATTGGAGACAGTGCAATGGGTGACCACGATATCCTATTTTAAAAACCAGACCATACCGAGTTATTCACTCAAGGCATGACAAGCTATTTCCTTCTGCTTTACTCATGCCATCCATGGGTGGTACAGTTCGGAATGGACATTCTTATGAAGGAACTATCATGAAATAGATAACCTTCCAGCAATCTTGTGGAACACTCCATCTCTACAGTGACCATGTGGAGCTATGGATGAGAGAGCGTGAGTCAACATGGCTTACAGTGAAGATTTTAAGTGAAAGAATACCTGGTCAGGCAGTACTCGCCACAGAGCTGGATCTGTGTTAAAAAGAGGGAATAAAGAAGGCCCCTGAAAAAGGGGAAAAGGAATAAAACTTACCAGTTAAAAGTTGTACCTAGGTCTGGAGCACAACCACTGATGAAAGACAAAACCCTGACATGGAGGAAATCATGATGTGATAAAGATAATGGGAGATGAACATACTGGCGTGGTTCACATGCCAGCTTGGATAATCTCCTCCAATGGATGATGAAGATGGGAAGCAAGGGAAAATGTGAGATGATGAATTTGATGGGAGGACACATGGAACAAGGTATGGGAAGAAGAAGGTAAATAGAAGTAGGCCAAATGGAACAGAAGGTGGATCCAACTCGTAAAGGTAGAAGGGGAAAGATCACAAAGGGAGGAGGATTGCCAGGGAATGACAAGAAGGTTGCATGTACCTCAGAGGGTAGCTGTACATGCAATATAATACTGTAGGGACCTGATGGAACACAGCAGTCCATTGGGGTCCAGACGAGGGTAAAGATGGGAAATAGAAGGTAGGGAAATAGGAGAAAAAGTGGAACAACCTTCTCAAGCCATCGTGGTTTTGGGGAGAAAGGAAAGATCAGGATAAAGGAGAAGATAGGTAGGATGATAAAAGGTAAGTGAAAGGTCAAACATTGGGAGAGTCAGAGCAT